GATGGCACTTCACACCAACAACAAATACACATACATATATGGTGGTGCTAGTGCCTGTGTGTTGTGGAGTCAAGTTTTGACTCATAGCGACCCTGCATAGCATTCTGAGGCTGTAAATCTTTACAGCAGCAGAAAGCTTGATCTTTCTCCTGCTGAATGGCTGGTAGTTTTGAACTGATGAGGTGATCAGCCTGACTCATAACCACTATGCTACCAGAGCTTCATTGTAGATATATATCTATATACATACATATGTATATATATACTTATATATACATACATATACATTGTTGTTAAGTGTTGTCAACTCAGTTCTGAGTCATAGTGACCCTGTACAGGGTTTCTGAAACATAACTGGTGGGTTTACAACTGACCTTTTTGTTAGCAGTCCAGTGCTTAACCTATAGTGCCATACCAGGACACCACACATATATATAGTTAACTGATTTTCACAAGAGTGCAAAGATTATTTAATGAGGAAAGAATAATCTTTTCAACACATGGTTCAGGGAGAAATAGACAGAAATACATGCAAATGAATACAGTTACCCGTACCTTAAAACCATGCATAAAAATAAACTGAAAATTGATCAACAATCCAAATGTAATAAGTACAATCATAAAACTCTTAGAACTAAGAAAACATTGGGTAGATCATCATGACCTATGACAAAAAATTCTTAGATATGTCACCAAAAGCTTAAGTTTCAAAAGAAAAATAAATGCACAAATTGGATTTCATCAAAATTAAGAACTTTGGGGCTTCAAAGGGCAACATCAGAAAGTGAAAAGACAACAAATATAATGGGAGAAAATATCTAATAAGAAATTCATACCTAGGATATATAAAGAAGTATCACAGTTAATAATAATAAAAAAGACATATAACCCAAGGGCAAAGGACATAAATAGCTACTACTCAAAAGAAGACAGAAAAATAGCCAATAATCACATGAAATGATGAAGACACCATTCATAAGCTGAGAAATACAAATTAAAAGTAAATAAAATACTACTTCAAACCAACCCAGGTAGTTAGAATCAGAAAGTCACATGACAACAAGTGTTGGTGAGGGTGTAGAGAAATCAGAACCCTCATATGCTGCTAGTAAGAATGCAAAATGGTGCAACTGCTTTGGAAAATAGCCTGGCATTTGCCCATTGGCTAAACACAGTTACTCTATGATCCATATTCCACTGCAGAATATACATACAATAGAGAAATGAAATTATATCCACGTAAAAATTTGTACTTGAATTTTTGTGTAACAGCCCAAAGATGGAAATAATCCAAATGTTCATCAACAGAAGAATGAGTAAACAAAACATGGCATAGTCATCCAATAGAACATTATCTGACCACAAGAAAAGGTGAGGTACTGGTATAAGGTCAACATCGATGGACTCTGAAAACCCAATGCTAAATCAGAGAAGTCAGTGACAAAACTACATGTATTATCAAATCCATTCACGTGAAAGTCCAAACAGGGAAAGAAATCATATTAATGGTTCCTATGGGTGAGAGAGGGGGTTTAATGGGTGCACAGAGGAGTTATAGCTAAAGTGTACAAAGTTTGTTTTTGAGGTGATGCAATGTTCCAAAACTGATTTTAGTTAATGACTGTACATACCTGTGAATATACTAAGATCCACTGAATTGTACATTTTAAACAGGTGACTTGGATAATATGTGACTTATAGTTCAATAAGATATTTAAAGAAAAAAAGTTGTATTTCAACCCACACCCTTACTGTAATATTTTGTCACTTTATAAAAATAAAGTTTCATAAGTATTTCTACATGCATAGTAGAGGATGAACAAAACATGATGGATGATTATGTAATCATTATAAAATATGGTGCTAACTTGTCATCATTGCTTACTTACTGTGACATCATAGTCATAGCACATTCAATAGGAGTCATCAACTTTCTAATCACATCTTCAGTTAGGAGCTCAGGACAATGTGCAACAAAACTCCTCATTGCTACATGAAAGTTTTAAAAGGACAGATTAGGAGCAGCATTTGTGAGAATGAAAAAATTTATACAAAGTTCTGAAACCCAATAAATACAAAAGAAGAACCAACTGCAACTATAAACCAAACCCAGGGCCACTGATTCAGTTCCAACTCATGTTTGTTGTTAGGTGCTGTTGAGTCATTTCCGAACCATAGCGAACCTATCTATATACAACAGAATAAAACACCACCCAGTCCTGCACCACCCTCACAAATGTTGCTATGCTTGAGCCCATTGCTGCTGTCACTGTGCCAATCCATCTCATTGGGGATTCTCCCTCTTTTTAGCTGACCCTCCACTTTACCAAACATGATGTCCTTCTCCAGGAACTGGTCCCTCCTCATAATTTATGTCTGAAGTATGAAAAACGATGTCTGGTCATCTTGGCTTCTATGAAGCATTATGGAGTACTTCTTCCAACACAGATTTGGTTTTCTTCTGTCCATGGTACCTTTAAATTTCTTTTTCAACACCGTAACTCAAATGCATCAACTCTTCTATGGTCTTCCTTATTAATTGCTCTACTTTCACATGTATATTATGCTACTGAAAATACTATGGTTTGGGTCAGGTGCACTTTAATCCTCAAACTGACATCTTTGCTCTTTAACACTTTAAAGAAATCTTGTGCCACATATTGGCCTAATGCAATAATGCCGTTTGATTTGACTGCTGCTTCTATGAGTGTTAATGGTAGATCCAAGTAATATGAAGAAATGAAGTCTTTGATAACTTCAATATTTTCTCCATTTATCATTTATTGGTCCAGTGGTGAGAATTTTTGTTTTCCTTACAGTGAGTTGCAACTCATAATAAAGACTGCAGTTTTTGATCTTCATCAGTGTTTCAAGTACTCTTCACTTTCAGCAAGCAAGGTTGTATCATCTGTATATCACAAGTTGTCAATGAGTCTTCCAACTCATAGCAACCCTATATAGGGTTTCTGAGGATGTAAATCTTTATGGAAGTAAAATGTCTCAACTTTCTCCTATGGAGCAACAGGTGGATTTGAACTGCCAGCATTTCACTTAGCAGTCCAGTGTTTACCCTACAGCACGATTAGGACTCCTTAATTGCAACTATGTTGCTGTTAAGTGCCTTCGAGTCAGTTCCAACCCATAGCGACCCTGTATAGGGTTTCCGAAGAGCTGCTGGTGAGTTTGAACCACTGACATTGTGGTTCAAACTACCTTGTGGTTGAGTGTTTATCCTACAGCATCAAACAAAGACTCCTATAGAGAAAAATAATTACAAAAAGCCAAAAGAAAGACGGCTGTTGTTATTAAGTGCTGTGGAGTTGGTTCCAACTCAGGAACCCTGTACAAGGAGTGGCTGGTGGGTTTGAATGGCCACCTTGTGATTCAAACTGACCTTACGATCAAGTGTTTTATGGTACACAGTAAAAATGGAAGAATGGGAAATAATTCTCATGGAGATATCCTGAATAAGAATTCCAAGGAGTTTAAGCCCAAAGGAATTTAGACTACTAAAAAAACCCAAAAAAAACGCTACTTCAAGACAGAACCAAGAGTGGACAAAATGGTCCAGTGAGAAGGATCTCATTATATAGGCTCTTTAACAACAGAGTTAACGATGCAACACCCCTTAGATGTGTGGAAGCAAAACTGACATCTTGCCCTTCCATCCTCTTATGAGCAGGCACCTATCTCCCTCTCTTCTTTTGGAAAAAAGCAGCAGTTTTTACACTGAGAAATGTCAAAAAATAAACAAAAGCAGGACCACCCAGTGTAATTTCTAAGAAAACCAAAACTTAAGCCTTTCTTGTAAGTTGCTGACAAAACAATTTTTCCCATAATTTTTATAATGCTGATATCTGAAAAATATTGCACCCTTTGAAGATTTGATAACAATATGAAAAAAGAGCTGTTTTTATATACTACGAAAGACTTATTAATTGTATAGTCCATAAGTTAGGCATTCCTGGGTATCATATTTCTCTAAATATTCATTAGATTGCTTTTTAAAATTACAACCCAGTATCTTTGACAGGTAGAAGACTGCAATATGTGGGAATCAAGAGACTAGATTCTCGTTATAACCCTACCAACAATTCTAATCGACTTCTTAGAATCTCAGCTTCTATTTGACTACAAAATTAGTCAACTGGATAAGATTATTTATAAAGTTCCTTCCCACATCTAAAATTCCATGGATCACAAACTAAAATAAAAACAAGCTTCGTTGATGGAACAGTGAAGCGCTTGACTGTTAACTGACAAGTTTGCCATTCAAATCCACCCAGCAGCTCTGGGGACAAAAAACCTGGAGGTCTGTTCCCCTAATGATGGTTGGTGTTGTTGTTAAGTGCTATGGAGTTGGTTTTGACTCACAGCAACCTTGTATAGGGATTTCAAGGAGCAGCTGGTGGGCTTGAACTGCTGACTTTGCATTTAGAAGTGTTGATCCTACTGCACCACACCAGTCCTATAAAAGATCTACTCTATCACATGGGGTTGCTATGAGTTTAAAAATTATTTCATAACACCCCAACATTTAAAAACAGTTGAAGTAATCATTTTTTTTCATTTCATAAACATCTTTTTTTTTAATGTTTTATTGTGAATTATGTGATACTTTACATGAGAGAACATTAGCTTTACATACATCCTATCGTATATTGTTTCATTGCCATGGATACAATCCCCTCCATGCATCATCAACCAACCAAAGGGTACACCCTGCAAGCCTACCCTCCACCTCATTTCATAAACATCTTAATAATACAACATTATTCTTAAAGTGCATATCCTTTCAGTCCTTACCACATAAAGCTCCAGCACGACCTTCCAATGTTACTTGCCAGGTAAAAGAATCTCCTCTGGCCTTCTCAGCCTCCAGTTCCTTTAAAGAACGCGGGAAAACATTTCGCCACAATAACAACATCTTGGGCAGATGGTATCGAACAACAGATGGTCCTAACCAATAAAATGAGAATACAAAAAACCATAGATGTAAAATGTACATTTTAAACAAAAGCCAAAGAAAACAAGAGCCTCCCACACACAAAATAAAATGAATTTTAAAATGGATCAATAATTTTAGCAACCAAGAAAGCAGCAATAACAGTGCTGTTTAAATGTGACTTTAACACCCTAATGAAATCACAAAGACTTGTCTTCACTTTAAGAATAAAACTTGCCTTCCATACACTCAGCTCTTTTGATGAACACTAAACTAACCATGAAATGAATGGTGGAGGACAGGCAATGTTTCATTCTAGTAAATGCAGGGACACAATGAGCTGGAACTAACCCGAAGATATTAACAACAAGAATCAAGTAAATGGCTGTTCTGATGACGAAGGTGAAACTTTGCTGTCAACGTCTTCATTAAATACACAAGGGAGCTTCAAAAAAGTTCATGGAAATATTTTATTATCTTGTAATTTCATTTTTACACAAACTTTAAGGCCTCCTCATATTTAAACAGAAATTACCCAAAGACAAAACTACTATCAGATGATGAGGAAAAAAATCTTTATCATTTTACAACTTAAAGTCTATACTGTGAAGTTTAATAACTTTTAAATTAAATTTGCCCTACAACCTACTGACAGTTAAATAGTGTAGAAAACTCAATCCAAATACAATTATACCTAAAGTCATAAGTTAAATAGTGTAGAAAACTCAATCCAAATACAATTATACCTAAAGTCATAAGTGCTCCAAGTAAAAGCCATCCAGCCTGGGTGCGCTGTAAAGACAACCTACTATTTTGTGCAGCGGTTCGTAAGAGATCTTCAGCAATACTCACTACCATCTGTAAGAGAAGTTTAAAAATTGTATTTTAATAAAACATGTTAAATATAAAATTAGAAAACTAGTAATGCTTTATTTAAAAATAAGTTGACTTTTCTCAAAAAATATGGTTAAAAGAGACAACATCAAGAGTGTTTGGAAACCAACAGATTTATTCAATGTGAATTCCACTAATGACTCTGAGAATTAAAAAGCATAGTGGTTAAAAGTGAGTGCTAGAGAGAGACTGTTAGGGCTCAGATCCCAACTATGCCATTTACTAGCTTTCTGACCTAGGACAAAGTAAACTGGGTTCCCTCATTTGTAAATTATCACACCTTAGTGCATGATCATTTCTTACATTAGACTCTCATCCCCTTAAGGTGGAGACTGAAACCGGCATGGGAAAAAAACAGGACGGCTAGGCTGATTGGAGCAGTGGGAATTTTGAGTAAATGGGTAGAATAAAGACAGACTGTGAAGACACCAGTTTATCACACAAAGGAGATTTTATATTCTCTGAGCACCAAGTAGTTCCTAAGGGTCTCTGTGAGCAAATTAGAAATATGAAAGTAGTGAGGGAAAGATAAAGGAGAGAAACTTCAAGGAGCCAACTAAGTGGCACAGAGAAATGAAGTCTAGATTCCAGCAGTAACAATGGAAGTCAAAGGAATAAATAAACCTGGACCCAGTGTTCCAAAAATAATGAGAATTTTAAAATCTCACCCCAATTTACCTATGTAAAGTTACAAATAATATTTAAACACTATTTAAGTTCTTAAGAAGACAATTCATCACTAAAGAAGATTAATGCATACTCTTTCACCCGCTGCCATCCTATAGGACAGAATAGAACTGCCCCATAGTTTCCTAGGCTGTAATTTTAACGGAAGCAGATCACTAGGTCTTTTCCCCAGCAGAGCTACTGGTGGGTTCAAACTGCTGACCTTTTGGTTAGCAGCTGAGCATGTAACCACTGTATCACCAGCGCTCCTTTATACTACCTTTACTTTCATCAGTTATGAAAGAATAGGGAAAAACGACTCACTATTAAATCACTCTCAGTTTTCATTAACCATTATCAATATGTTAAATATGGCCACTGGCAATAGTATAGTCTCCTGACAGGTTTTAAACAGCAATGTTATTATTTGTTTTGCCTTATTTTGCTTTGCTTTTTAGATTAAAAATTTTTTTTCTATTGTAGTAAAATACAGTTAACATAAAATTTACCATTTTAATCACTTTTAAGTGTACACTTCAGTGACATTAATTCTATTTACAATATAAGTATACCTTGTTTTATTGCACTTTACCTTCTGCATTTTAAAATGGAAGATTTATACCAACCCTACATTGAGCACATCCATTGGCCATTTCCCAACTGCCTGTGTTCACTTCATGTCTGAGTCACATTTTGGTAACTTGCACAATACTTCAAATTTTTCATGATGCTACTGAAAACTTACTAGACTACAAGAAGTATAAACATAATTTTCATATGCACTGTAAAGTGTCAATACCCCAGACACTTTCCACATAAGCACTGGGAAATTAAAATTCATGACTCACTTTGTTGCAGTGGTGTGGAACTGAACCCATAATATTGCCAAGGTATGCCGTATTTATCAACCATCACCACTATCTATTTTTAAAATGGTCATCACCCGTAACAGAAACTGTGCTCACTGAGTAATGATTCCTCATTCCCCCTTGTCCCAGCAGTTGGTAACTAATCTAATTTCTGTCTCCATAAATTTGCCAATTCTAGGTATTTCACATAAGTTGGATCATACAATGCTGGTCCTTTCATGTCTGCTGCATTTCACATAGTAAGTTTTCAGAGTTCATCTATCCTGCACGATGTACCAGAACAGCATTTCTTTTTATTACTAGATAATACCCTCTTATGGGCATATACCACACTTTCCTTATAAGGCAAATAAATATGAGTCAGAATTGATACCACAGCAATTGGTATTCATCTGCTGACAGATACTTGGGCTATTTCAACTGTGAAAAATGATGTTATGAATATTGATACAGAACTATCTGTTTGACTTCCTGCTTTCCGTTCTTTTGTGTATAGTATACCTAGGAGTAGAATTACTGAGTCATATACTAAATCTGTTTATCTTTTTGAGGAATTGTTAAACTGTTTTCCATAGCAGGTGGATCATCTTATACTCCCATCATCAATACACCAAAGTTCCGACTTCTCCGTATCCTCTCCAACACAATTTTCCATCTATCCCCTCCCCCCACCACCCCCAATAATGACAGGTTCAAATTTTTGGTTTGAAGTTTAAAGATTATCTCAGGGCAATAGTTTCTACATGGTTCCAGAAAGTCTAGAGTCCATGAGAATTTGAAATTCTGTTTTGCATTTCCCGCTTTTGATCATGATTTTACTATGGAATCTTTGATCAAAATGTTCTGTAATGGCAACTAAGCATCATCCATTTCTTCTGGTTTTGCAGCAAAGGAAGCAGTTGTTCATAAAGGCAATTAGCTACACATTCTATATCCTCCTTCTGTTCCTGATTCTCCTTCCTCTGTTAATCAAGGTGGATCGAGACCAATTGGTGTACCTTGGATGGTTACTTGCAAGCTTTTAAGACCCCAGACATAACACAATGCACTACAAAGTAGAACAAAAGCACTAAATATGTTATTGGGCCAATAAACTGGGATGTCACATGAAACCATGACCCTAAACCTCCAAACCATAAAGAGCTCTGGTAGCACAGGG